GTAAATAGAGGTAGCACAGCGTTTCCTTCCCTCAGAGTCCTGTCTTCTCTCCTTGTTGAAGGAGAGAAGACAGGACTAAATAGATAGGAAACTGGTCTCAAGGCCACCAGTTCCTTTGCAGTGAGACCTCACTGTTTCCAGGGCGACAGGCACACGCAGGAAAAGCGGCACCTTCTGAACTAGTTTGGATCCAAATCCCGTGATCTCTACTTTTGGAGTTCCCTTGATGGCCCAAGCCGGCAGGGTGTGTGGTCTGGACCTTTCTTCTCAGGCCTGCTACCTTAAGATCCCAGTCCTGTGCCATCCCTGTCTGGGAGCTGACTGAAAGCCTTAAGGAGGGTGTACCCGTGTCCTTCCGAGAACACAGTGGCCAGTAGACCCAGAACGTGATGCAACCCTATTTTCCGTAAGCTCCCCAACAGTGGACCAGCTGGTCTTTGCCTCCGGGACAACGCATTCAAACTTGAGCAGCCCTCTGGGGTCATTCCTCCCCCTGGGTGGTAGTGTTTGGGAGAGCGGATGTGAAACTCCCTGAGAGGGTAGGTGTAAATTCCCAGCATCCGGCTTGGGCCCCAGTATTCTTTTTTCCCCAGATCTTTGCTGGGGACAGGGAAGTGGGATGAAGACGTGAGCCCAGAAGCCGCGGACCTAGGACTCCACCGGCGACCAGACGCAGAGCTGCAGAGCGCTCACCACTGGGACACGGGTACATGGGCCGAATCCTCGGCCCTGGACCCTAGGGCACAGCCGCACCGCACCTCCGTTCTCCCCTGAGATCTGCCCCTGCAGAGGGGTGACCGGACCGACTGAATCACTGCCGAGGGCCGCTCTGGGAAAGATTCTGAGACCGGATTCGGGGTTTCCGGAGTGTTCCATGGTCCCCCTCCCAACTCGACCGAGCCGCCTGAGCATTTTTGGTAATGTTTGGGTTGATGAGCACGGCCGGATGCCCCGCCTTCCCCTCGGCATCCCCTGGGCAGGAACGCTGAGCCCCCAGCTGCTGCAGCGCCTTCCCGCCTCAGCTGCTTCTGTGAGAGTAAAGACCTAGGTGCGGCGAAGCGGGCAGGTAGACTGTTCCACGAGGACAGACCCCCTAGGGTCAGGGGCGACAAGAGGGTCAGTCTATGGTCTAAATATTCACAAGGGCAGGGAGCAAGGATGGAAGGCCATGACCTCTGTCAAAAAACCCCATTCACTACAGCCTTGTTGGTTTTAAGGGTTCCTAGTCTATAGGGAGTATCCTAATTCGTTCACATTCACGCCATCCCCACCCCCAGCTCTACCGCACGGAAGGGGCCAAGAGAAGAGGCCCAAAGCTCCCAGGGGAGTCTTGGAATGTTGGGATCCTGGGAACAGACCCAGCCGTCCATGGGAAAGCCAGGCGGTGGGGATCCCACCATCCAGCCCCCTCCCCAGGATGAACCACCGGATACTGCAGACCCCAGTTCCCCAACAGCGGGGTTTATGCCTATGGAAGTCCCCACCCTAGCCTTAGTCTGGAGCAACCCTAAGGTTCAGTAGGCCAGCTGTGACGCCAACGCCCCTCCTCCACCCTGTTCCAACATAATCCTCCCCTTTGTGTCACTCCCCCCCTTCCCTGGCTCCCCCTTCTCCGACCCCTGCACAATAGAGCCTTTGCTGCCTCCAGGGTGGAGATGAACTCACGGTTTTTCCAAGTTTAAAAATAGCTCCTCCCATCCCCCCAAAGCCACCCTCCCCCTCTCCCGTGTTACTACTGCTCATGTGCACCCCAAAACAGTCTGCAGCACCTCCCTCCTCCTGTCCTGGGTCAGGTGCGAAGGACATGAATGAGACTTCGTGTCCGGCCTGCGTAGAGACTGCTTCCCTCCATTCAATTTCTTCCCCCACATCTTCCACCCACCCGCTAGTATCCGGTTTCCTGGTTTGATAATGTCCTCCACAGCAATTGACCCCCATCTCCACCCTGGTTTTCACTCTGTGGTGCCCTCCCAGAGCAGATCCCCCTACTCTGCAATCCTGCCACCCCTCCAGGATTCAGTTTTCTGGCCAGGTCAGGGAGGGGTTCCCCAGCCTCTATAGATGCCAAGATGCCCACCCCCAATCTCCTCATCACAGCTGCAAGCACGTCTTTATCCATTTCCTTCCTCGGCCCAGCCCACCCTTCCCAGCAACGAGGTGGGGCATCCTTGTCTTATTACCTCCAACTCTACTGACTTCCCCAACTTTTCTTACTTTTTCAACTACTTGCTTTTCTGTATCTCTCCCCCACTTTAACAAGGAATGGAAAGCCCCAAACACAAGGAAGACTGTAGCTGACAGGACATAGGATGGGGACCACGACCCCATCCAGCCTCTGCCCACTGTAAGATACTCACCTCCCTGTTCCACTGTCATCTGCTGGTTTCACTCCTGTTTACTGGAAGGCCTGATGATGTGGGTGGGAACTGTTCTCTGGTGTCTCAGATGAGCTGAAGGCCCTACATCCACCCACACGAGGCTCTCTACTCTCCCTTCTGGTTCATAGTTCTCTGAGTCCTCTCCAGGGTCCTGACCCGTCTTTGCTTTAGAATTTCAAAATGCCCCTTCCTAAAAACCATCACTAAGCTTTGTGTCCCCTGATCTTTCCCTATCAGCTTGTGGTTACTGGTGGCTTCTTCTCCTTTTCTTTCTCCTTCTCTCCCATTTTAAAAAGAATTATTATTCTTTTTCTTCTCTTTTAATCTTTAAAAAAATATCTTATTGGGCTCATTTTGATAAAACCAGGTGCTTTAAGGCAATATATGTGTTGAGTAAATGTCTTGTGGGTTGGAAGTGGGGTGTGCTCTCCCAATGTTGTTCAAATCACTCTTGAACTCTGGCTGAGTCTGGGGGTAACTGACTGCAGCTCAGGTACCCACCAGCCAGGTATCTACCAGCCAGGTTTTCTCCTTTTTGTTTTTTCTTACAAGCTGACAGCTGCTGGCATCCCTGCCACCTGAGAACTAAAATTCTCAGGACCTGCCAAACTTTGGATAGAGGTCATCCTTTGTGGCTCCCAAATTCACAGCAAGCAGGAAAAGGGCTTTCTACCCTGGACAGACAGAGGATGAAAGTGTAGGCACACCCTAGCTAGGCACTGCGATTCTACCATAGGCTTCCCATCCTCAGGTTAGTGCAGGGTCCAGGAGAAGGGATGCCTGTCCCTGCATGGTCTTCAGAGCTCACCTTTGCACCAGTGGGTGTCTTCAAACCCCTCACAGTAAACGAGACACAGAAACAATGCTGAGAGCTCTGGACCACTAATCTCTCAGAACCTAAGTTAGTGCCTAGTCTGGCCACAGGGGCCAGGCTTCTTAAAGTGCAGTCTGTTTGTTTGTGTTGGTCTTGTACACCCAGGAGGGACAGGGTGTCACCCTGGGCTCTAATCTTATTTCTCTTTCACTGCAGAAAAGACTCCTTCAACCCCCACCTGGCATCAATCATCAAGGAAGTATTCAGAATTGACTGTCCTTGGTGGTTAGCTGGCTTTGTTTCCAGGCTGCCAGAAAAGAAAATGATAAGTTAATGGTGTTAAATGAAGATAATAGGGCGGGTGGGGGGGCAGCACTTGCCCTGCCTAACAAAACGACATCCTTTAACCATTTCTGCAGAGAAAGGTGCTTATCTTCCTGTTTTGCTCTGGGCCAGGGGCCAGTGCCCATCACTTCACTCTGGAGGGTAGAGGAGGCAGGACCCTTATTCTCTCCCCTTAAAGACCTAAGCCAACAGCCTGGCACGCTCCCAGTGGCTCTGGCTGGACACTAATGGACAGGGAGGAGGGGTCAATGAGGATCTGAAAGATGAGGTTGATGTGGTTTGCCAGTCATCTCTGAGTCATCAGAAAGCAACCTAGAGCATTCTCCCAAGTCACCTGGCCATCTCTGGTGCTTTCTGTCTCGCTCTCCTCTCTCAGGCAGCTGCAGAAAGGCTGCTGCCTGTAGGGGGACAGACCACTGCCCTAAATCCAGACCCCTCTAACTCTCCCGGCGGAGAATCTCAGCCAGTGTGAAACCCTTCCTGAAGCTATGGTCCTGGGGTCTTTTTTGAGTCAGTTCTAGAGTCCAGAAGACCCAGGTAGAAGTTGGGGTTTGGAAAGGGGAGAATAGAGTTCCTGACAGTGTGGGAGACTGTGATCAGGATCTGCAGCTGATCCATGTGGCTTTGACTCATCTGCCAGTGAGCCAGGACCAGCAGTGTGAGAGCTGAGGGATGCGTACAGCAGTGGAGCTGGGGTAGCTTTCAAGCATTAGGAGGCGCAATAGTTCCCAGGGCTCAATCCGGGGGAGTCCACATCCATCAATACTAACCTTCCCTCATTTGGGTGAGGGGACACTGAGCCAGAGACCAGGAAAGCCTAAAGAGTGTTGGAACAGAATTATCTGGGCCTGGGGGTGTGGGCCGCGGGCTTGTGAATTCCCTTGCTCCCTTCTCTAGTGTAAGAGAGACTTTGCAGGAAGTTGAATATCAAAGGACGAACTTAAAAGGCACCGTTTCCAACTCCCCTACCCCTTTGACGGCACCTCTAGGTCTGTGGGACCTGGCACGTTCTTCCCCAGGGCTGCCAAACAGCGGAGACTCTGGGGCTGTGCCAAGCCGGCAGCCGCTGCAGTGAAGCAGTCGTTCCAGGAGGCGACCAGGGCCAGCTCCGTGCGTCCAAAGCAAGACAGAGGAGTCTTATTGGGAGGCCCCCATTAGGGATACCGCTCTCCGGTTTCTCTGCTTTAGGGTTTGACCCTCTAGCTGATAGTGGTCAAACCTGAGTGAGTGCTGCTATTGCGTCCAGGGCGGCTCTAAGGCGACCGGACCAGCTTCTTCTGCCGCCTTGGCCAGTCATTTGAGCCCAAGGACACCTGTCATTGCTCTCTCAACCTTTGTAAGCCAGGACGCTGGGAAGCAGGAGTTGGCTTCCAGGCCGGGAACGGGGCGCAGCTCCCAGCCGGCGTGTCGGGCCCGCCCCCTAGGGCGCGGGGCGGGGGCGGGGGGCTGCGCGGGGCGGGGCCGGGCGGCGCCCGGGGTCCCCTCCCCCGCCCCCCTGACGTCAGCCCCGGACAGCCGCGAGCTCCTCACTTAGCTCTCTCCCTCCGTCGGAGAAGTATGGGGCTACCCAGGCTCGTCTGCGCCTTCTTGTTCGCCGCCTGCTGCTGTTGTCGCCGCGCCATGGGTGAGTTGTGTGTGTGTGTGTGTGTGTGTGTGTGTGTGTGTGTGTGTGTGTGTGTGTGTGTGTAGGGGGTAAGGGGGCGAACCGACGTGTGTGTGTGTGTGTGTGTGTGTGTGTGTGTGTGTGTGTGTGTGTATAGGGGAGAGGGGGGCGAACCGACGTGCGTCCCGCAGGGCCCAGGCGTTGGGAGTTGGGGGATGTCTTCGACGGAGCCGGAATGTGCTGGAAATCAGAGCTGGCAGCAAAGCAGAGGCCAGGTCTCTGCACCCAAGCAGGCGCTTCTAGTCAGAGTCCCCGATTCCCAGGCGCTCCGCGTGCGTGCAAGTTCTTTGCAGTGGGTTTACAGCTTAGGTTCTAGGATATTCTGGTAACGGACCCAGCCAGGAGACTGCCGCGGCGAGCGGGAAGGGGTGGGGCTGAGCTTCTGCAGGACTGTGGGGCTGGCCTCCTGCAGGTGCTTGCTCTGGGTGCGGGCGGCTGGAGCCGTGACAGAGGCGTGGCTGGGGCGCATCCCCAACCCGTGCATCCCGTGCCCTCCTGTTGCTGGAAAAAGCTGTTTCCCTTGTTGGAGGGGGGGGGCGCCGACCCCTCCCCCTCCTCCTGGGCCTCACGCCAGCTTGGAGGTGAGCGAGGGAGGAGGGACGGTGGCTTCTGCTCGCTTCTGCTCGGCTGGGCGTTGGCAAGGGCAGCAGCGGGTGGTGTGGTTCGCTTCGCACCTTTCCGTGTGATGGGATCACGGAACAGACGATGAATGAAGAAGTTCTAAAATGTAAATGGCTTATTTTAGGGACTAGAGTCCAATGGAGAGCGCCTGGGCACCTCGGAGTTTTTCCTTGAGCCATCCTGGGTCCCGGCTTCCCTTGCATGGCCTGCAGCAGTGTTGCGTGTTATTCTTGGCTCCTTATCCTGTCCCAGCTACTGGTCGGGCTGGGGAAGGGAAGGACTGGGCATTACCCACATCGCTGGCCTCTTGCCCAGTGCCAGCCTCGTCCCTGGGGTACTCCAGTCTAGTGCCTCCCAGACTGACCATATTTCTGGGGAAAGGGCTAAGCCAGCTAGGCAGCCCCAGTGTAGCAAACTCAGCCTCACTCTGCCCTGCTCTTCCGGCTCTTAGAAAACAGCCAGAGACCCAAGATTCCTGTCTTGGTTAAAGACCACCCCACCTGCCCTCCAGTCTGGAAGCCACACAATCCAGGCATCCCAGTGTCCAGCCAGATTGTGTCCAGTGACATCAGCTTCTCAAAGGGCTGGCAGCATGCTGGCAGCACTGATGTCACGCCTGTCACTCTTTGATCCTTGACTTAACCCCTGGGGGAGATTCTGACCCCTCTATACTTGGATAGGGTCTTCAGATTGTATTGCAGTGTTCCTTAACATGCTGCTTCTGGAGTATGAATTATAGCCTCTGGTCAGAGTTGCCCCACTGTGTCTTCTAGAGGATTTGGGGGGCAGAGGGTAGAACAGTGACGTCTTCCCCGTCTTCCCCGGGGAGGTGGGGACACAAAGGGGCCTGTTGTGCCCCAGCCTGGCACATGCCTTGCATTCTCATAGTCTGAGCTCATCAGGACTAGGAAGGGGCCCAGGAGCAAAGGGGCCTTCCTCTTGGCCCAGAGCCCATGTTCCCCTTATCTGTGTCCTCACCAGTTTCTCTTAAGGGATATCCAGTCTATGTTTCAGTCCATATTCCACTGACTCAGGTTGGGGTGTGGGCATGGTGAAGTTAAGGGTAAAGAGAGGACAGGGCCCTCTCCAGACCCTTAGAGTAGACAGCTGCAGTGAGACACCAGTGGAGAGGGGACAGGACAGGAGGAGCAGCTGGAGCTGACACAGCTGCCTGGGCATGCTCCTCCGCTTCCCCAGGTGTGCCGGGAGAGGAGAAACAGCCTGCACCCACCCCAGACCTGGTGGAGGCGGAAGTGGGCAGCACAGCCCTTCTGAAGTGTGGCTCCTCACATTCGTCCCTCAACTTCAGCCATGTGGACTGGTTTTTGGTGAGTGCCTGGGCTTTGGAGGACAGTAGTTGGTGGGAAGCCCTGTCCCTCGGGTAGATAGCTCATCTCTCTGCTCCTTGCCCTCAGATTCACAAGGAGAAGCAGATACCCATTTTCCGTGTGCGCCAGGGCCAAGGCCAGAATGAACCTGGGGAATATGAACACCGTCTTAGACTCCAGGGGGGGTTGGGAGGTACTCTGGCCCTGAGTCAAGTCACTCCCCATGATGAGCGAGTGTTCCTGTGTAAGAGCAAGCGGCCACGGCTCCAGGATCACTACATTGAGCTTCAAGTCTACAGTGAGTGCCCCCTCCTTCCTGCCTTCAGGGTAGTGTGGACCATGTAAAGATGGGTTTCCATATCTCTGCTCATTTCCCTTCTGTTGTAGAAGCTCCAGAAGAGCCAACCATCCAGGCCAATGTCGTGGGCATCCATGTGGACAGGCAAGAGCTTAGGGAGGTGAGATATAGTAGGTCAAGTGATGGTGAACAGGGGCTAAGCTGGGCAGAGGGGCTTGTCAGAAGCAAGGAGACTCCCATCCTATCCTCTTTAGGTTGCTACCTGTGTGGGGAGGAATGGGTACCCCATTCCTCAAGTCATCTGGTACAAGAATGGTCGGCCCCTGCAAGAGGAGGAGAACCGTGAGTAGTCCCTTACTGCATAGGCTCTGGAGGACCATTTAGTGTGTGCTTTTAGAAATTTTACTGAAACAAACCAAAATAACATGCAGGTGATGTTGAATAATTCACACTGGAGAGTTGGCTTAGTTAAGAACACTGGTTGTTATTACAAAGGACCTAGGTCTCAGAACCATCCACAACTCCAGTTCAGGGGACCGATGCCTTCTTTTGACTTCCAAGGGCAGAAGACATGCATGTGGTACATGTATACACATTCAGGCAAAACATTCATACACATGAAAAATCGTTCCATAAAGGTATTTACTTTTTTATTTATTTACTTATGTTTTATCTCTACATGCATACCTGTATGCTAGAAGAAGGCATCAATCAGATCCTATTATAGATGTGAGCTACCATGTGGTTGCTGGGACTCTAACTCAGGACCTCTGGAAGAGCAGCCAGTGCTCTTAAACCCTGAGCCATCTCTTCAGCCCCACAAAAATTTTTTTAAAGGAAAAATTTGGGCTTTAAAAAAGTTAGAAATTCCTTTCTGGTGGACTCCTCTCAGAAGTCACTTCTGCTATCGACTGTTATTTTCTTTCATTCCTCTTTCTGTGTCTGTCACAAGCAAATGCTTGTTGCAGAGTAGAGATTTGTGTGTGATGTTTTGAGACAGGAACTCATGCGACTCAGGCTGGCTTTTAATTGCTCATTCTCTGCCTGTCACTCAAGTGCTGGGATCCATGCATGTACCACCTCTCCTGGTTCAAGGCTTATATTTTGTATTAGTTTGGTTTTTCAAGACAGGGTTTCTCTGTGTAGCCCTGACTGCCCTGACACTCTTTGTAGACCAGGCTGGCCTTGATTTTTAGAGATCTGCTTGCTTCTGCATCCTGAGTGATGGAATTAAAGGTGTGCACCACCACCACCCGGCAAGGCTTGTGTTTTTTTACTGTTTCAACTAGGGGTGATTTTGCAAGCATACCAGCCTGGGGGGATACTTGGCAGTGTCTGGGGGCATTAGGTGTTGTCACAAACACAGAGACCGCTATTGGCATCTGGTAGGTAGAGGTCAAAAATGTAGCTCAGCATCCTACAATGTACAAGGTGGCCCCACCACAATGAATTAATTCTGGTCCAAAACATCAATAGTGCTGAACTTGAGAAGCCCTGTCTAAGTGGTAACGTGGGCACACATCCCTTTTTGTAATGTTTCCAAGTTAGTTTGTTCAGATACACCTGTTTTGCCTCCCGTTGTCATACTGAATATGATGTGGTTGTTACGATTCTCCTTTTAGCACTTAATGTCTCCGTTTTTCATCACTTTGTTCTTTTGTTTTGGATTCTGATGATTGAACCTAAGGTCTTACACATGCTGAGAACATGCTCTACCACTAAGCCTTTCACCTAACTCCTTCTCCCCTTGTCTCTGGGGCAATCCTGGCACATACCCTTGCATATGTGCTAAGGTGTAAATGTCTTTTTAGGGTAGTTACCAAGCAATAATGGTTGAAGGGTTACCAGTTTGTATTTGACATGGGCCTTTCCCTTAGATTTCTCCCTGCTAATTCCCAGGAGAAGCAGGGGTTGGGGAGTGCTGAGGCCACGCTTTGCTTCCCTCCTTCTGCCCAGGTGTTCAAATTCAATCATCACAGATTGTGGAGTCCAATGGCTTATATACGTTGCAGAGTATTCTGAACGCACGGCTAGTTAAGGAGGACAAAGATGCCCAGTTTTACTGTGAACTCAGCTACCGGCTACCCAGTGGGTACCGCATGAAGGAATCTAGGGAGGTCACTGTCCCTGTTTTCTGTGAGTGTTGACTTGCTCCTCAGTTTTGGGGGTTGGCCTGGTGGGAACTTCTGGTAGACCCTCTGCATTGAATTCAGGGCCAATTCTTGGGCTGAGAGACTCCCCCTTTGCTCATGCAGACCCTGCAGAAAAAGTATGGGTGGAGGTAGAGCCTGTGGGGCTGCTGAAGGAAGGGGATCATGTGAAAATCAGATGTCAGACTGACGGCAACCCTCAACCCCACTTCATTATCAACAAGCAGGTTCGGAGGGCTCCATGCTGGGTGTATGGACGGGGATGCACAAGAGTACAGGCAAGGAGGCAGACAGCAGCTGGAGGGGTGTCAGCTCACCCTCACTCTTTTGTATTCTCCCAGAACTCCAGCACTGGGGAGATGGAGGAGAAGGCCACTGATGAAAATGGGATTCTGTTCTTGGAGCCTGCACAGAAGCAACATAGTGGGCTGTACCAATGTCAGACTTTGGACTTGGAAACTATGACCACACTGTCAAGTGACCGCCAGGAGCTGCTAGTGAACTGTGAGGCACTAGGACAGAGGTTCAGCCTGAGGCAAGAGGGAGCTGGCTGTCCTGCCCAGGCTGACACTTTTGTTATGCCTCTAGATGTGTCTGATGTTCAAGTGAACCCAGCCGCTCCTGAAGCCCAGGAAGGCGATAGCCTTACACTGACCTGTGAGGCAGAGAGCAACCAGGACCTTGAGCTCAAGTGGCTGAGAGACAAGGTACCCAGATGGGACTATGGGTGAGAGCCTGCTCCTTCTCAGAACCCCCTGACCCATATCTCACCCCTAGACAGGCCAGCTGCTGGGAAAGGGGCCTGTCCTCCAGCTAAACAACTTGAAACGGGAAGCAGGGGGACGATATCTCTGCATGGCATCAGTTCCTAATGTTCCTGGCTTGAACCGTACACAGCTGGTCAGCGTGGGCATTTTTGGTGAGGCCCTTTGTACAGTGATTGGGTCACCAGAGTTGGGTAGTGTTGAGCTGTTGAAGGTCAAAAATGTCAGCCGGCACCCTGAGAGATGTGGTGGGAAGTAGAAGGTGGCTATCGGGGGTGGGGTGGGGGTGTCTAATGCTTCCTTCCCTCAAGGGTCACCGTGGATGGCACTAAAGGAGAGGAAGATGTGGGTACAAGAGAATGCCATGCTGAATCTGTCTTGCGAGGCTTCAGGACATCCTCAGCCCACCATCTCCTGGAATGTCAATGGCTCAGTGAGAAGGCTTCATTTATCTTCCCCGTTCTCTTAATCCCTGCCTCGGCTTTGAGGCCATGGCCGGAGGTCCACCCACTCTTTGAGTTGCTCATTTACTTTTAGGTTACTGAATGGAACCCAGATCCACAGACAGTAGTGAGCACCCTGAATGTCCTTGTGACCCCGGAGCTGCTGGAGACAGGTGCAGAATGTACAGCCACCAACTCCCTGGGCTCAAACACCACCATCATCCTCCTAAAGCTGGGTGAGCTGCCTCCCTGCAGAGCATGGCAGGGGCATGCCCAGGCACAGGCATTAACGTGCGCTTCTACTAACCCCCTCCCTCTGCCTCCTAGTCACTTTAACCACCCTCACACCTGACTTCAGCCAAACCACTGGCCTCAGCACCTCCACAGTCAGCCCTCACATCAGAGCCAACAGCACCTCCACAGGTAAGCCAGGGCCTGGCAAAGAACAGGCCTGTGCCAGGGTGCCCATATGTCACCCTGGGCTGGATAGGGTGGGGCAGCAACAGCAATGTGGCAGGCCAGGGCAAGGAGTGACTAGAAGTGTCTTTGTCTGACAGAGAAAAAACTGCGGCAGCCAGAGAGCAAAGGTGTGGTCATTGTGGCTGTGATTGTGTGTATCTTGGTCCTTGCTGTACTGGGTGCTACCCTCTATTTCTTCTACAAGAAGGGCAAACTACCATGTGGACGCTCAGGAAAACAAGAGATGTAAGCCAGGCTCATGGCCTTCATTCCCTCCCCATTTTCAGCTGCCCAGCTTGCTACCTCATAAGGGACCTACCTCCCTTGCCTACCCAGTGCCCACTTAGCCCCTGTGAGCAGAAATTTGGACTTTCTTTTTAACTGCCTAACTTCTATCAACCACACTTCCCTGAAGTCTCCCTTCCTGAGCTGGCCCAAAAGACCAGAGTCCATAGAGTATCCATCCCCTTCCCTTGCCCCCCAGTTGCCAACCTCTCACCTCCCTCCTCCCAGCACGATGCCCCCGACTCGTAAGAGTGACTTTGTAGTTGAAGTTAAGTCAGATAAGCTCCCAGAAGAGATGGCTCTCCTACAGGGCAGCAACGGAGACAAGAGGGCTCCAGGAGACCAGGTAGGAGGCAGTTCCCGAGGCCAGGGTCTGACCCCCACCCCTCTTCAGGAACTTGGGGCAGTGGGCTAATGGTACTTGTTCCTGAACACTAACTCTTTCTGTTCTTCCTCCTTGGTTGGAGACGGGGAGCAGTCCATCCTGCCTTACATTACTAGCCATGGCAGGGCAAGGCAAGTGGTGGCGGGACCCTGGAAACAGCAGAGCCCTACCCCACCTTCTGCTAAAAATGTAGCCCCTTCCCCCACTGCAGAGACTTAGCTGGGGGACTTGTATCTTTTCTTGTCTCCTTCCCCCATTTCTGCTGCTTGTCTCAAGGCTACCTCAAATTCATCAGCTTCTGCTTCAGTCCCCTTTTGGTGCTCATGCTGTGAACCCTGCTAGCTCTTCATGTTTTGGTTACTTTTCTCTCTCTCCAGGGAGAGAAATACATCGATCTGAGGAATTAGTCGACTCACCAATGTTCCCAGCTCCCTGCTCAGTCTTCACCCCAAGTGAAAGCCTCCAGATGGACAGCAGGGAAGACCCCCCCACTCAGGTTTCCTACAGACCAGGTCCAGAGAGCCAAGAGCTAGAACAAGAGCCATTTGAGGACCTATCTCACTTGGCTATGGAGGCCTGGTTTTAGATACCAAGTCCTGTGTGTCCATTGAGTGACACTTATCCCAAGTGACTGGGGCCTCAGTCTCCCAGGAATGTGGAGGGTTTTTTTTTTTTTTTTTCCTTACACAGCCCATGGTTGCAAATCCATCTCCTGCCATCAGCTGAGTGGGCTTGCCCCTCTGAGCAAGTGTTCTCCCCTCACAGGCTATCTTCGTGCTAGTTGTATCACATAAGGGACCTGGGCATGTGGTCACATACACTGTTCACACTGGTCCTTGAGACAACCCCATAGCCCAGAGGCAGCTGCTTCTGGATCTTCCTGCCTGCTGCTCTTTCAGGGTCTTTTGGGATGTTTCCCCTTTAGGCAGAAGTCAGGGACTGGTGGTAATCCTTTAGATACATCCCTGAGTAAGGAAGCCAAGCTGTTCTGTCTGTCTCTTTTGGAGTGAAGGCTACTGAGCCTGCACTTCCTGCATTCCCTCAGTGGATAATGGGAGACTGAAAGAGAAGAGATGGGACAGAGAGGATGTCTACTGTTCATGGGGATTAAGCTTATATGTATGTGTGTGTTAGCACCACATTTCTACATGTGAGCTTATAGGCCCAGATCCCAAGAGAGTCCAAGTGGGAGAATGGTACTTAGAGATGAAAACTTGGCCTGGCAAGAGGTTTTGGGGTATGTGTGCATCTGTGAGTGTGTATGTGTAACACATACATACATAATACACACACACACACACACACACACACACATATATATATGGTTTTTCTGTAAATTTGCAAATTGTTTCCTTTTATATATTATGTGTTAGAAAAATAAAGTGTTATTGTCCCAAAAACATGATGCCACTTTCCATTCATCATGGATGATCGACCTGGAGTTTCCAGAATCATTAAGTGTCCTCACAGAAGGGACAGGCTCCCAGAAGATTGTTCCTTTACCTCTACAGCATCCAGAGCCGAGCAGCATGCTACATGCTAACTGCTGCTATGGCCCCTCCTGTGTACCCCTACTGCCTGCACCACTGCCATTAGTCTCAAGGCTACCCTGTGTATTACCCCTCAGCCCCAGATGAGCCAGAACTCAAATGTGCTACAACAAAAGAAATTTTATTTAAAAATATTTTTTTACAGACATGGGTGCTTGAAAAAGCTCTTTAGTTAACTGTATGGAAATGAAAAAAATTAATAAATAACATTAGTATAACAGACCTCTAATTAGTATAACAGACCTCTACACATAAGTACACTGGCAAAACAACATGGACTTGAGAGATCGAGTCTTAAAGCTCTGCTACTCTGCAGGAGTATTTACCTCTGTCTGCTCTTTATAGGAGAGTGATTAAATACTGCTAATAGAAATCTTTTTATATTAATGACATTTAAAAAATAGTCCACAAGAATCTCACCTAAGTGTGTTTTGTTTTCTTAACACTGATATACAAATTGGGACTCTATTCTGGGGAAAATATCAAGTTCTCTCTTGCCCCACCCAAGTCAAGAATTTTAAAATCTTGAATGAGGAGGGCTTTTAAAAGAACTATTTCTACCCCCTCCCCCATACTCTTTGTTAGCTACAGGCAGGGGAGAAACAGGAAAAGGGAGGGTAAGAAAACTTGTGGTTGAAACCTATGACAGTGTGAGTGACAGGCTTCTGGGTTCTACTGCCCTTGCCAGGGTGCAAGCAGACCCTGTGGAGGGTACCAGCCACTTAATGCTTTAAGGTTGAAGCCTTCAAATGAAAGGAAAACCAAGTCTGAGGAGAGGCAGGAGGTTGAAGCTGGTTCAAGATCCAGCAAAACGGAAAGACAACAAAAAATCATCTGTCCCCTTCCTAGGAGAGTTACACTATAGCCCCACTGGGCAGGGCACTGCTACCCAGAGGCTGCACGAGTGGGGCATTAGAGCAGTGGAACACTAACCCTGCCTGGAACAACTAATGGATGCCAGGATAAAATGCTGCTCTTTTCCAATGAAGTCTCATGGCACAGAAAGGAGACTATAGGCACCTATGTGCCACCTCTCCAGCCAGACATCCTTGTCCCCCAGACTCTAGGGCTAAAGATATTCAAGGTAGAGGAGCTCAGACTCTGGTATTTCCATATTAAGTCCTAAAATGCAGCCTGGGTTACAGCGCTGCCTTAGAAAGGCACAAAACATTTGGCTTTTTTTTTTTCAGTGTGCTAAAAATTGTTTTGTTTTGAATAAAGGAAAAAGATATATAAGGTTAAAAATCCCAAGTCACCACAGCCAGAAAGCAGATGTAGGAGGTACCTCACAGCTGCCATGCCCAGCATGTCTCAGCAGAGGTCAGACTTCCCACTTAAGGGTGTTGACGAGGAGGCCAGGAGGCGGTGGTTTCTCTTGTGTGTGCACTGCAGGGAGGGCTCAACTAGCCCAGAGAGCAGGGGAGAGGCTCTTACCACTTCAAGCCAGCCAAAACATGATCACCCTCTCCACTACTGGGCAAGAGGTAGTGGGGAAGGAGCAACACAGGCACCACACACCCCAATTCTGGGCCCATGTGGGGAGCCAATGTGAGCCTGAGGAGCTGTACACTGCATGCACTGAGCAATCCCCTCCTCTGGCCTCCATTCTGTTTTAGAGGGCAGGAAAATTGGACACAATGTGGAGGTCTGCCTCTCACATTCAGTTGTGGGACTCAATCAGGACTGCAGGGCAAGGTGATCACAACTCTTGGTTGATTTGATTTGTTTAGCTGCCAGATCAGTAGATGTGAGGCTGGCGCTCAGCCTGGGCTCTGTACAACACAAGGAATGGTCAGCTACATTTTTCTCAAGCACTAAAACAGGGACGAGGCTACAAGATCTCCAAGCAGCTGTTGGTAGGCAACTGGCCCCTCCCCATGGTGCTCTTCATCAGGCACAAAACCATGCATAGGGCCCTCCCTGCCTCCTTTTCTCCATCTCTTAAGTCTTGTGCTACTTACTAGAACCAAGAAATACTGGTACTTTCCCTTGCAACCAACCAGATTTCCTGGGACACTGAAGGCACATGGCACTACTGTCCCTCTGCTCCTTCATTCAGAAGCCTAGGTGAGACATCAAATGCAAAATCTGATGACCAGCTCTTGTCCTTCCTATGTGCCTCAATGTGTATCTTTGGATTAGTAGGTTACTCCTGTGTATACCAAATGACTGAAATATTTATTTATAAGTTAAAAGCAGGGTAGTATGTATGATATGCCTTAAAATGCAGGGCAGGCTCTAAGATGGGATACCAAAGATCCAGGCAAGCAGAAGCATAGTTTTACTTTCCCCACCTCCACCCCTAAAAAAAAAAAAAGACAAAACAACAAACAAAACAAAACAAACAAACAAAAACCACCACACTTATTACAGAACTAGAGAAGAACCAAGGAGATAGGGAAGATAAAGGTAGCTTGTCTAAGGAGCTTACAGAAAAAGCTCTATTCAACACTGAAAATACCTGTATCCTGGTAAAAATCCAATGGTGCCTGTTAAGCAGAACTAAGAACATTATTGTAGGTTCCCTCACAGAAAGGCAAATGAAGAGGATGGGGATGCAGGAAACTGGTCAAGAGCCCACAGAATGCACAGGTGTTCAGCATTAAAACCAGAAGACAGTCCAGCCTAAAGGTAGTAGTTACAGTTGAAACTAGGATCTACACTCTAAGCAACATTCAGGGAGACCCAAAGTTGAACGGAGGCTAAGAAATGCCACTCAAGAACAGACTAGAGGGCTTCATGAGTGGAGAAAGCAATCGTGGGTGCCAAGACTCTAAGGAGAACACAGGAAGAAACGAAGAAGCAAAGACGATAGTGATGCTGAGTAAGTTAGGGATTTCCAGTCAGGCAGTGGTGATGCACGCCTTTAATCCCAGCACTCAGGAGGCAGAGGCAGGCATATGTATGGATATCTGTGAGTTCAAGGTCAGCCTGATCACCAGAGCAAGTTCTAGGACATCTAAGGGCTACACAGAGAAACCCTGAACTACAACAGAGAAAAAAAAAAAAAAAAAAAAAAAAAAAAAAAGGATTTCTTCAACTTCCCAGATGAATAGGAATAGCAGAACAGCAACTATGCTTCCAGCATGGAAGTCCCTTTGCATATCTGCATATCTCTCCTTGAAAGCTCTCAACCTGCCACAATCTGTTCTCTCTGTAAGGCCCAGTGGGGGTATGAACCCTCAAATCAATATTCTCGCTCTGAGTGTACTCTTTCTTAAGAATATAACCTAAGTGTCATTGTCTTCTGCTCCTTGACTGCTGGCACAATGTGACTAGACTAGCTACCTCATGTTCCTGCCTACACAACTTTTCCACAATGAAAGACTGCACCTTCAACCATCAGACATAAAGGAAACTACAGCGAAGAACCAAAGGCCCACTGGAGGTGAAGCTACTCCATCAGCAATTCACATTTAAAGAGAGCATCTCCACTCATGCACCAAACGTTAATGCTGCTTTCCCTGTTGCTGGAAATGAAGAGAAGAAAATAGTCTCCATGAACATGCAAGACATTCATAGAGCCCAGTCTGGTCTTCACCTTGCAATTAATGTATCTAAGGCTGGCCTAAAATTCCTAATTCTCCTACTTCTACCTCCCAAGAGCTGAAAGACAGGCGTGCTCCATGAGTTCCAGCTTGGTGAACAGATCCCCTCAAGAGATATAGCCCAGCAAAGACTCCCTCACAGGGTGCCTGGTCTGGCCCATATAATCAGTAGACAGGTTTGATAGTCTCCTGTTCTTTCCAAGAATTATTGAGTTTTTCTAAAGAATCCCATTCATTTTAAGAAGATCAAGTGAACTCAAGGACAAGGGTACCTGTTTTGGAGTCATGTATATTAATCCACTCTGAAGTAGGAGGAGGGACCAAGTCTAAAGTTTCCAGTCCAGTAATATACCAGAACCAAGCCTCTCATGCATTAAATAGCTTTGTGCATTCCAACAGAAGGACTGCCCATGTGTGACTGAGATCACAGTTGAATCCAGATGCTCTGTGTAGTGCCTGAGTACTTCAGTTGAATTTTGAAGCTTCAAGTGCCAGATGATAACGTTGGCAGGAAGGCTCTGGTACTTCTAATAAGCTGCCTGCTTTGGGAAGGCTACTGTGGACAGAATCCAGCCTCAGTTCCTGACCAGCTCCTACAAGGCCAGACTGAGAATCGGGTCCTCACCCTTTCTCCTTTCCACCTCTCTTAAGACAGAATTAGCTACAAAGTTTGTTGGAGAATGGAAAAAGAGAAACTTCAAGTTGTAAGGTGACAGGTGCCATAAGGGTAAAACAAAACCTTTCCAACAAGGAGGACAGGGGGCAAAAGCAGCTCAGTAAAAAGATAAAGAAGGCACTGGATTGGAAAGCAGACTGCAGCAAAAGCTTTGCTTAAACATTTAGTGCTCTACTGTACAACTCGCACTCAGTGGACCCACAACCCACTGAAGAGATTATGAAATTTGAAGCAAAATAGGATAATCTATGAGGTATACACAACAGAATCTCCCAAATATTATCAAGCTACAGGAAGATAACAGGGGTTAATGGGAAAGTCTTGGGCCAATTTTAAACAGAACAGCTCTATAAGGAAAGGTTATTCTGTATAAAAGAGTTGTGAATAAACATATATATGGTCAAAAGCACAGAGTTAAGGACAGCCCATGCTTAACTTTCCAACACCAGTAAACCACCATGAGGTGGCAGGGAAAAATACATAGTAATCACTCCAATATTTGCAGAAATTAGCAAACTGTTATAGCCAGGACAGTGGTTAGAATACTCTATTCAGTGGAGTGGTCATTCTAGAGTCAGAAAGGCCAACAGAAAGAAGGAAAGTCTGAAAAGGCCAATAGCCTTCTGATTCTCATGATGTGAGGTAGGAGAACATTCAGCATCAACACCATTGCTGATCATCACAGAAAGGCTAAATCCTGTTAATAGTGCCATAAAAGGAATACACAGCTGGTCCCTGGTTTGGTCTGCAAGCAAGTTATATTACAAAAATTAACTGGACCATAAAACTCATTTTCTTTCCCACAGGAAATAAATATTTTAAATATGAAGAAGTGACTCCTACCTATCCCAGACCCCTTCCCCAGTTTTAAAAATAAAAACAAAACCAACAGAACAGCTGTACTACTATCACATACTATGGTCCAGTGGTAGGTCTGAGAATTGAAAGAGAAAGACAAAAGGGCAGAGTATGCAGGGAGGGGCTGGAAGAGGAAGAGGGGAGTAAGTTAAGGAAAATGGTCAGCCAGGGTCAATTCACTGCTTAAATAAATACTAACATACAAAGGCTGAGGTCATGAGCTGCCCAGTCTGTTAACTAGGAGGTATAGGTCAGAACCTGCAGGTTTTAAAAAACATTTTAAGAACTTTTCACTTTAAAAGGACAGTGGGAGGGCAGCTAGAGAAGTCTAATCCTAGGACTGGACTAGAAAAATCTTGCCTTGAGTCTTGGCAAGATAGTGACCCATCAAAAAGGTGGCATGTAAAGCAACCTACAAAGACACAGAAAGAGCAGTGGACTCTGTTGAATAAAACCAGCCTAATGAACTTGAGGAAAAGGAAAATGTTAAAGCTGTTTTCTTAATTGTAACACAGAGCAGGGAAAAGGGATGGGCTTGCCAAAAAAAGAGCAAAACTCAAAGCTTCTTTATGAAAGGGCAATTTTAGGTAAACTCAGAGGAAGAGCCAAGGAATAAAATTTACCATACAAATGGAAAATGAAGAATGGATTACTGGTGCCTTCAAAGGAAAAAGAAATTCAAATTTGGAGACTATCTTCAAAATGAGTGGCATGAAATCTCCTAAGGTTGCCTAAGAATATCAGGCACGGGCCCCAGCAAGTCCTGGAAGCAAAGGAAAGGCCTACACACAATAATCTTAAACCATGATGCCTGCAGATTTACATCTGATAAACCAACACCCAAACTAATCAAAGATGTGCCTGTCCAACATAGGGACTGAACACCTCACCCCCGACCACTTCAGAGCTCACATGGGTACTCAACAGAAGACAGGACAAAACTGTCATTTCCCTAGATAGTAAGGGCAGTAATTGCCACAGATTTGGTTTTTGTTTTCTTTTGGAGGCAGGGTCTCATGTAGCCCAGGCTAGCTTCAAACTTGCTACGTAGGCAAGAGTGGCTTTGAGCTTCGAATACCTGTCTCTGCCTCCTGAGTACTAGTAATTAGAGATGTGCCTCAGCACAATTTGTTCTACAGAGTGTGGGATTGAACCATGGCTTTGTGAATGCTAGACAAGCACTCTACCAACTGAACTATATCCTTAGCCCTCTACAGAAGACTTGGATACACAGAAAAGGCAAAACTAATGTAGCCAATGATTTATTTTCTTGATAGATCTCCAGACAGTGGATAATGTCTGTAGGGAAAGAAAACACTGCAATATAGACAAAATAAGCCTATAGCCTTTTCCTAGTTCTCTGTCTTCAATTTTTTGTTTTGTTTTTTTATACTTTTTTTTAACATTTATTTAATTTTATGTATATGAATGTTCAGTCTGCGTATATATGTATGTATGCATACCAGGAGTGTGCCCGGTGCCCACAGAGGTCAGAAGAGGGCATCAGATCCCTCTATATCTGTAGTTACAGATGGTCATGAGCTGCCATGTGGACGCTAGGAACCAAACCTGGGTCCTCTGCAGGAACAATCATTCTTAACAGAAGAGCCATCTCTTCAACCCCTGTTGCTTGTTCTGAGACAAAAGTTGAGCTAACACTGAACTTCTCATCTTCTTGCAACCTTCTCCCAAGTGCTGAGATTACAGGGACATGTCACCAAGATTGGCTAAGGTTTTCAATATTCAAAGGAACACAAAATTGGATGTCGAAAGCTTTTTGAGGTGGGTAAGCTATTGTTTCCTACTCACTGCTACATTAGAAGAGACACTAGGTAACCATGGCAAGTCAATATAAAATACTGTAATGCCTGCCCCGGGAACAGAAACAGTTCTGAGGCAAGAGGAGAAAATCTGAAGACCTTGAAGCATCCAGAAACCAAGGGAGTTTAAAAGGTTTTAGTTGCAAAGATGTTAAGACTGGAAAGAAAGTGTAACTTTAGTGGGTCACTTCTGTCTGGACTTAAAGAATCGAGTGGAATCATTTGAAAACCAGTTTACATGTGACAAGAGAAAGGGCAATGCTACCGAGGGGGGGGGGGTGCAGCAAGTCCCCAGTCAGAGAACTAACTGAACCCAAGGGGTCATAACAGGGACTGAGAAGCAGATCTCCAAACTGACTCCAAATCTTGATGAACTTGTGAATACAAACTATACACTGTCCCAAGTTGTCTTTGACTAAAAGATTTCAATGAATGCTGGAATACTGTGTATAATGCAGTGATTATATCCAGAACCTAATAAAGGGACAAGGAAGGAGAAAGAGAAACCATTCCCAAAGCCCTAGGCACATGAGCAACCAAGTCACTGGGTGGCACCAAAGCAGGAAAGGCGCTAGTCATCAGCAAATGCTGTAAGGTAGTTAGGGTTATCCCTAAAGAGATCATTTTTGAAAGGTTAACCTTGCTCCTATTCAAGGGAGAAATCCCTAAGCTGAAATTAACCACTGGCAAGAAAGACTGAATAGGTAAATCCTTACTGGTTTATTTTGTAAATCTAAGTAGTATGTGACTGAAGCTTCCTAAAAACTCCATGGTAATTGGCCTGGAAAGCCACCTTGGAAGCAAATGTTCTTCTTACTGTTCCTATTAGGTAGAAAGACTCATGATCTATATCAGAAACACATACCTGACACCAAGGCAACAGACTCCCACAGACTAATTCCTGGGGAAGACACGGAATGCACATAAAGGCCTCTATCTCAAACCAGTCATTAGGTAATTAGGAGAATTCAAACATCTTATTTTAACAAATTCAACATTCCTATAGAAATAGCACTTTGGAGTGACCAGTGTTAGCTGTTAGCATCAATCATAACTAAACCACAGAACTGTACTTTCCTTCCCACCTATTCTACCAAACAAACTAACACCATCAGACACCACAAAGAACATCCTGTAAGCTGCCTGGCTTCAGATCACTGTAAGCCTACAGACACCAATGAGGAGGGGTAGAGTTAGGAGTCTCCAGGGGAAAGGGAAGAAGGTATTCGGACACTAAAAGACTTAGCTAAGCTCATGATAATCTAAGCCAAAGGGGAGTGTTGAGGTTATAACATCCAGCAGGGTTAGGTGCAATACCACAGTAGATGGGAGTCTTCAGAGATTCCTTCCTGAAGCTCTTGTGCTAACTCCCTGCCTGGATTCACACACAGCAGGATAATCTTATAATCATAGGACACACAGACAGACAGACAGACAGACACACCCTTAACAGGAAAGTCTTAAGTCCTTAGCTAGGGCTACAGCACAGCACTTCTACTGCTTCCTGTGCTATTCCAGGGGTAGGTTACCATTTAATAAAAACCCATTCTCTCCTAATGGGGACCGAAGAACAACAAACACACTCAAGACCAATACAACAGTGAACACACTAGCTGCTCCATTTTCATTCCACTGCTTTGAAATCTTGGAACCATGGGTGTCGATACCCACAGAAAAGGCAGGACCTCACTGTGACGCCCCAAAAGAAGCCACTGCTTTCCTAGGTGCTCCTTAAGTAAAAGCCGGGCTCATGGGTCCTCCGAAGCCATGGCAGGAAGAGATGTGCTAGGTAGCTACGTGGGCAGGAGAAGAAATAGAAACAAATTCCCGGAGGATGTTTTTGGCCATTTCAATGTTGTTGTGGGCAATGACCAAAGCTTTTTGAATGTCCTGGTAGGAGTAGCCCTGACTCATGAGACGCTCAATCTCACTCGAGAGCTGTGGTGAGGGGGTGCTGGCAGCAGGGTTAGCAGTGGCACCTCCACCTTGCTGACAACTACTTGCTTTTCGTTCAGAGTTGATTCTCCGAGGGAATGGTTTAGGGGGCCGCTCAGGAACTTGGGAATTCTCATTGAAGTCTAAAAGAGAAAGGGAAGAGAATATTTGTAAATCTCGGGAAGCTCAAATTTTGGCAATAATAGTAACAATGTGCTAATAATGTGCTCTCCTGTCACAGCCTACAGAGTTCTGATTTTTGTTTTAAACAGTAGTTCATGCTATAGCCCAGACTGGACTCGGACTCACAGCTGTGCTCCCACTTCAGTCTCCCGAGTGTTGAGATTACAACTGTGAGCTACCATATCTGGCACAAGTCTGGGTTTATTTATCTGCAGTGCTGGCCTGAACCCAGAGCTACATACATGGTAGGTAAAGTGTTCTGCTGCTGAGCTAGATCAAAAAGCTAGGCTTTAGATCTTATCACAGAGTGAAGAACCTTCTAAATATACCACACACCCATTCTGGTAACAGTAATTGTGGCTTTGAGAAGCACATATAATACCTACACTGTGTTATACTTAGCAACAAGTATACACAAATCTCAACCTCTTACAAAGAAGGTGACAATACAGCCTAAACTGCAAAGAAGCAGTAAGTCAGATTGGGTGGGGATCCTACTCAGATGGGCAACTAGATACTAGATCTCTTCCATCAGCTGTTCTGAAAATTGTCTTCAATTTCCAAAGTGACAGCTATTCTGGCTGCTTCCTTACCAGGTGGCCACAGGTGCAAATAGCAGTCCTGGATACCAGAGACCAATGAGTATGTGTGTGGGGGGGGAGCACACAGTGGCATAAAATATGTGCTTGAGAGCAGCACACTTCTTCCCAGTGGGACAGGACTTAGGAAAAAAAAAAAAAAAAAACTCACTTCCATCAAGCCTAATTCCCAAAATTATACAAATACTTACAAGAGCTAGAAGCCCTGCCCTCCCTCCTCTACAGGAGGACCTGTGGCTTAAGTACCAGCTGCCGAGTTTCACTTCCTAATGTAGGACATAGGACCAGCTTTCCAACATTTAGATAACAGTGCACAGTCTGCTATGACCACTCCACTGACTTACTGCCACCAGAAGGTCATGACTTTCCGTTATAAATCAGAGGTCAGACAGCAATACAGGACAGGCAAGGCAGCCTGCAGACTCACTTGTAGGATCACCATCCAGAGATAACCAGCCAAAGGAGGAGCTGGCATTAGAGATGTCAGACAGAGTTCGGCGAGCCAGTACAGCTGGCACAGGAGGCTTAGGTACATCATAGCCATCATCCTCATTTTCTGATTCCTCAGGGCCAGTATTGGTGTGGGCTGTAGCCAAATTCCCTTCCCCTGTAAGAAAGTTGGTAAAAGTTATTGTCCTCTCCTGACATACTTCATTTGCTGACAAACTTCTATCAAGAGGTATCCATTCATTCACCCATGAGTACAACCATTTATTTCATTCAACAGTGATTCAAATGCCTACTGTGGGCAAATACCATCTGAGGAAATGGAGATAAAATAAACCTGCACCAGCTTTCTTGTTGAACATGTCAACAGTCACTCTTGCAAGGTTAATAGCTACAGATGACCACAGACTCACATGCTATTTGAGAGCCTTCTATCTGCATTTCACCTGCGAAAAACAGCCAACGGGCTGTGTGTGCAGACTTCTTGAACTTTCACCTTGATAAACTGTTTAACATGGAAATTGACTATTTACCCCCCCCCACACACACACACACAAGAATTCCATCAATGTAATGGGAATAAGAGAGCTACTAGTACTGAGATCCAGGCCATGTAACACAGATGTCTCCAGGCCTGGGAGGAAGAGAAACAGTTAGGATCTAGGGTTTAAAGAGTAAATAAAAGGTAAGTGGGATCCATTCTGTACATAAACCAAACAATTTTTGCAAAGAGTACTGAGAATCATTTTCTCTTTGGGTAAGCTACCTAAGCCAAATGTTACAGAGTCTCCTTAGGGCTTTCTTTTCTTCTTATTCTTGAGACAGGGTCTCAGCTATGGAGGTATACTGGCCTCAAACTTGAAATCCTTTGCCTCAGACTCCCAAGCATTAAAATTACAGACAGGTGCTGCCCCACATGACCTATCAATTTTTAAGTAGAAGACAGGCTACTCACCAAAGGTACTGTTTTCTGTTACAGACAGTGCTTGGGACTGAATGTTATACATTGCTTCATATGTGCAGCTGTCAATCTGCTGGTCACAGTCACATGCTCTGAACCACAAACAAAATTCTGTTATTTGCAAACTTAAGAAGACTAAGCTGTTTCTAACTGTCCTAGACCCTAATTCTTTCAAAACAACCCATACTCTTTATACCAGTATCATTAATAAATACCATGCGGCTGACTCATGGTAAGCTAAGGGTGTACATGTTCTGGAGGTCACTGTGCCACCATGGAACCAATGCAACTGCTTATCAATATTAGAGATGTAAACCTGAGGATCTAGATTTCCCTTTCTGCTTTACTTCTCACTAGATAATGGTATGTGCAATAAGAAAGTGAGCAGGTAAAAGATAGCAAATGAATTATCCAAGTAAATACAACAGGCTCCAACTGGGATTATTGTGAACATACCGTGAACTCTGGGTTGCCTCTAAAGTCCATTTGGGCTCTGGCTTCTGAGCCCCTACAGGCCTAGATGTGGGAGTCATATACTCTGTGTCCTCTTCACTCTCCCCTTGCTCCCCAGGTGGCAGTTTTGGCACAGGAAGAGGCCTGGAAAAATTTTAAAAAAGAAAAAAAAGTTGGAAAACTTTCAAGTATGAAATACATTTAGAACTGATACAACTCAATTTGATAAAACAAAATATATAGTACCTAGGGAATGATCATTTCCACTGACCATGGCAAGTACTTAGGAAAACATGCCCCAACTACAAATTTTACTTTCAGTTGATCCAAATGATAAGCTGGGATGGGCAGTTAGTTCCAGTTATCCTCAACTCACAAGTACATTTTGTTACAGTAATCCTGTTAGCATTCTTTTTCTTTTACAAGGCATAAAATAAGAAACAGCAGGTGGCTTTGTAACAGAATGCTAGAAGTATACAGCTATCTATGATAGTAAGATTATATAGCTTGTCAAAAGTATTACTCGAAAACATTATCACTTTTTCTCTTCAATAATTCCTACCAGAAAAATCTAAAATAAGTAACCTGGTCATTAACTTCCTAGATTAGGTCCTAGATTTCTGACTCTTGACCATCTCTCTCTCTTCTTTTGGCAGTGCAGGTATCAAACACAGGACCTTGCACATGCTAGACTGACTACATCACTATGCCTTTAATTCAGAGATCTTGCTTGCTATTCCAGCATATACTACGTAATTCTCACTCAGCTTTCTGCAATACAACTTCTCAGGGGCTAGAGAGATGGCTCAGTAGTTAAGAGCACTGGCTATTCTTCCAGAGGTTCAGAGTCCTATTCCCAGCATCCACACCTTTGCATATCTCCTATGTTTGCACATAGGGCACAGGCATATACATTCAGGCATCCACATAAAATAAAAAAAAACTTAAAAAGAAACAAAAACTTCTGCTGTCCCACCTTATTAAAGGAGATGAAGACAAAATAACAGTTCGGAAGAAACATGACCTCATCTCATGCTTCTTGGAATAATTATAACCAACAAGAAACACTTGCATTTATTTGCCTCTCAGTATTTACATAATGTTTTCCTGATTATAAAAGTAGTACACATTTTTGCTTGTTTGTTGTTTTGTTTTTTGTTTGTTTTTCGAGACAAGGTCTCTCTGTAACCCTGGCTGTCCTGGAACTCACACTATATACCAGGCTGTCCTCAAACTCAGAGATCTGCCTGCTTCTGTCTCCAGAGTGCTGAAATTAAGGGCATCTGTCACCACACCTGGCCAAAGCACACATTTAAAAATCATGCCACAGAAACATAACAAAACCAAATTAATTCTTTAAAAAGGTTAATAAAAATGACAAGACTCAGTAAGATGACCTACACACATGTGCAAAAAAAAAAAAAAAAGAATGAAAAGAAAAGTATTTCAAAACACAAAAATCACAGCACTCAAAGAAAGGGCTAGAAGACTTATGAGATGACTTTTTGTCTAAGATCATCTTTATTCCTTTTAGTAATAATAAAACATGAAACACCTGAGTGTCTACAAATGGGCAGGAGGGCAGGTGCCCAAGGAGGACAAAGGCACTGGATCCCCTGGAGGCAAAGTTATAGATGGTTGTGAGCCTCCATGTGGGTGCTGGGAATTTAATTCAGGTCCTCTGGAAGAGCAGCAAGTATCTGAATAACTGAGTCACTGTCTAGACACTTGTGTGTTTTGAGAAGGAGTTTTGCTAGCTTGTAAACTTGTAGCAATTTTACTGCCTTAGCATCTCAAGTGCAGGATACCTGCATGTACCAACCACACCATCTTAGGATTCTGAGTTTGAGGCCATCATTGTCTAACTAGGGAGACCTTGTCTCATGAAAAAGAAAGAAATATCCACTGCATGGAATGAAATACAGATTTAATATGCTTACCTGGCAGCCAGAGAGTAAATGGCGTTGGCAGATGAAGAAGGCTTGATTTTTGGGTGCTCACTCTCTGGACCTGCTATCGGGCTGCTATTCATATTCTGCAAAGTAAGAAAAGGTCTGAAAAGAACCTCTCTTTCCCAATTACAGCTAAGTATCTCATCTTATTGAACCTACTTGGGGGGGTGGGTGGGAATAAATCACAAGAGTATTAACAAAGACACAGACCTCACAAAACCCAAGGGTTATCACATCTGACAAAAAACAAAACAAAACAAAAAGCTTATGGATTCTGATTCTGAAAGAATGTCAAATTTATTTATTCTAATTCTAAAAATAAAGTTAGTTGTCTACAGAAATATCACTTCTAAAATAATTAAGTCTACATCTAAACTCAAAATGGTCAGCCTCCTTGATACTACTCCACAGTGCCACATTTGGTGCCGCTCCAAATGTTAATCTTTTCTGTGAAACCAAGAAACGGTCATCCGAGTGTCATTACAGTACTCAACTGTATTCTTCCCATTCTACCTCCTCCTTAGATTTCCAACATTCTTTTCAATTCACCTATTAAAGTTCATTACAAATATGATGTCTGTTGGTCAGGGTCAAATCATCAGTTTACAAGAGAATTCATATCTTTCGTCTTTTCACCTACTGACAGCTTCCAAGCCTTTGTAAATTCTTTTCATGAACTCTAAAGGGTCCACCTAATCCAACTATTCCCTTTTGGTAAAACACTCCCAGTCGGTCACTGGCATCCACTACACCTCCCTCCCTCTCCCCCCCCCCTCATTTTTGTTTCTTTGAGACAGGGTTTCTCTATATAACAGCCCTGGATGTCCTGGAACTCTATAAACCAGGCTGTCTTCAAACTCACAAAGATTCATCTGCCTCTGCCTCCCAAGTGCTGGAATCAAAGGCATGTACCACCACCACCAGTGTATGTGGTGTGTGTGTATTTTTTCTGAAGACTTTAATAATGTGTTTGAGTGTTTTGCTTATGTGTGTGTGTGTATGTGAGAACCACATGTGCTTTGTCCCCTTAGGAGTCAGAAAACAGCATTAGATCTACTAGAACTGGTTATAGTAATTTGTAGGGTACCATGTGGGTTCTTGGAATTGAACCCAGGTCCTCTGCAGGAGCAGCAAGTATTCTTACATGCTGTCCTTCTCTCTAGCCCCCTTGTTTCTTTAAAACTTAAAAAAAAAAAAAAAAAAAAAAAAAAACAAACAAAAAACAAAACAAAACATTTATTTATGGCCGGGTCGTAGTGGTGCATGTCTTTGATCCCAGCACTTGGGAGGCAGAGGCAGGCAGATCTATGAATTTGAGGCCAGTCTGGTCTACAGACTGAGTTTAAGGATAGCCAGGGCTGTTACACAAAGCAGCCTTGTTTTAAAACAAAACAAACACAACAAACAAACAAAAAAAATCCACATTTATTTTGTGTGTGTTAAAGTCACAAGATAATTTTCAGGTTCTCTTCTCCCCTTTTATTACATGTGTCCCAGGGATCACATTTGGGTCATCAGGCTTACCAACAAGTGTCTTTACCTACTGAGTCATAGTATCAGCTCTTGGGTCTTTCTCTTCTTTCTTTGAGACAGAGTCTAATTGTGTAATCCTAACTGGTCTAGAATTTATTATGTAGACCAGGCTGGTCTTGAACTCAAAAGATCTAACCCCAGGGTCACAGGTGTGTGCCTGGTTCCTCAGGTATTTCTTAAGCAGACTCCTTTCCAAATTCACCTCTTTCTACTTCATTCTAGGGATCAAACTCAGATTGGAAGTGTCTTTATGCTGAACCATGTCATCAGCCCTTGGTTTACATACTTCTCATAATTAGGAATTACACTATCTCTGAATTCTATTCAAAATCGATCAACTTTAACCTAAAAATTAGGTACAGTTGTACATATTTGTAAACTCAGCTACTTAGGAAGCTGAGGCAAAAAGAATTTGAGGCCAGACTGGAATACAAACCAAAACTATGTCAACAAAACAAAATGCCCCCTGCCCCTAGTCTCTCTATGTAGCCCTGGTTGTCCTGGAATTTGCTCTGTAGACCAGGCTGGAATTGAACTCAGAGGTTAAAATGCCTCTGCCTCCCAAGTGCTGGGATCAAAGGTATTTGCCACCATACCTAGTTTAAAAAAAAAAAAAAAAATTTTTTTTTGACCATAAAATGCCACCCACAGATTATATTAGGTTAAATGGTTTAAAATATAGGACTCACCATGGAAGTATCCAGACTAAATGTGCTTCCAAGCCTAGGAACATCTACTCTGGGTTCTATTTGTGAGGGCAATGAAAATGGAAGTGAGTGTCGATTGGTCAGTTCTCTTCCATTCCAAGGATCATTAGGGCTTGGGGTAGCTACTGGTACTTTAGGGATTGGCCGAGGCAACCATGAGTCCCCTGGGCGGCTAGAGGGGACAGGGGGTAGTTTGTCTCTAGATGGACAATCGCCTGGTGTACAAGGCAGGGGGCGTCTCTGAGGCCGTGTTTCTGTCCCAACAGAGTAAGGCCGGTCTGGAGGAGGTGGTGGTGGAAGATCTCGAAGTGTGGGAGGTATTGGTAATGGTTTGTCTTTATGAAGAGAGCTAGAAGCAGCCTATGAAAATAAGATGGAAACAAATCAATCAAAACCACTTTTATACAAGAAAGGCCCAGCAAGATATAGAAATGGATAATGCTTTGCCTTAGAAGTCGTCCCCAGAACTGAAGAGCCAGCAGGGACAGATGCTCGCTGTTGTAGAAGATCAAGTCTTGGTGGCACTGGAGGAAGGGAAGCTTGTGGAGCCATGGAGAATGGAGAGGAAGGCCTTTCCACCTAGGACAGATGAGATATTAACAGGTTACTCTTGTTTAGGGAACAGCATCTTTCAATCCTAAAGCTACAGACAGAAGATACCGTGATCATAGAAGAATAGCATATGCTCTAAACCATTGAGCCACCTCTCCAGGATCCCAGAAAGGTATTTTAAGGGCATACTTCCCTCAAAAAAGGAAAAAGAAAGCATCAGATGCAAGAAATAAGCCTGTGAACAGAGGAGAGGCACTCATGTCCCATGGGAGGAAAGGAAAGGCCTCAGGATGACAGGAACGCAGTACACTTAGAGAATGAGACACCAGATGGAGGGAGCACAGATGACCCTGAGTATCACAACACTGTATTATATGTTATCTACTACACTGTACAACTTGCTGATAGCATTTATTTCCTTTTTTTGAGACAGGGTTTCCCTGTGTAGTCTTGGATGTCCTAGAACTCCCTGTGAAGACCAGGCTGGCCTCGAACTCACAGAGATTTACCAGCCTCTGCCTCTCAAATGCTGGGATTAAAGATGTGCATCACTACTGCCTGGCTTAGCATTTATTTCTTAATGCAGCCTCCTAGATGCTTGAGAACATGGTTTATTTGGTAGTGACAGATGCAAACTGAAAACTAGAGAAATAATTATTTCAGGGAAAAAAAACCCCAGGAATTTAGGTTAAAAAAAAATCACTTTATACAACACACACACAGACACACACACCTCAGATCAATGATGTGGGTCAGTGGTAGTAGTCAAGTGCCTATAGCTCAAGTTCAAGGTACAGGTCAGAGAAAGAAACAAAACATGCAACAAGCTGGGGAGTGGTTGGTGTACTTTTAATTCCAGCACTCCAAGAGACAAAGACAGGCAGATCCCACTGAGTTCGAGGCCAGTCTGGTCTACAAAGCAAGTTCTAGGACAGCCTCCAAAGCTACACAGAGAAATCCTGCCTCAAAAAACAAAACAAACAAAAAATACAACAACAAATGACAGCTACATGGGTGTAAAGAACCAGGCAATCTTCCATTTTCATACACCTTTATGGTTGGGGGGGGGCAAATTTTAAAAGTTAAAATATAATAAACCGAAAGTTATAAAGAATAAGAAAATACTACTCATCTGCCATTCAGTGAAGAAATGAAATAATACTATTTTTACAGAATTCTCATGCATCCCCCTTCCCTTAATCCTTAGTTCTAACATATGTCTTGTTTGTTTTTAAAGAAAGGCTTCCCTGATGATGAACTACAAGCTATAGACCCTTTCCTCCCAAATTGCTTTTGGTCATTATTTTATCATTATTTTATCATGGTAACAGAAACGCTGACCAAGACACCTGTCTAACACCAGCTATATCTTCAAGCCCCAAAATTCCAGTCTTACCTTGGCACCTGCCAACTCCTTCATCATGAAGAGAGAATCATCAGCTCGTTCATCATCGTCATCATCATAATTTGGGGAAGGAGCTCCTTCTGCTCCTTGTCTTAACAGACTGCCACTGCCTCTGGGGTCAAATGGATCCACCACGATAGGCTCAGTACCTTTGATTTCACATCGGCAAAAAGGACAGCCCTGACCTTCTGATTCCTGCAAAAGCAGATAAGAGTAACAGATACTCTCAAAGAATTTTACATATTCATCTACTAGTAAATATACTTCCTAGAGATAGAATTAATGAAGAATATAACTCAGAGGCAGTGTGTGCTTAGCAGGCCATGGAATCATTCCTCAGTGCCCAAAAGAAGACAGAGAAAAGGAGAAAAGTTAGGCATTGTAGCCCACCCTTGTAATGCCAATATTTGGGAGGTTAAAGCAGAAGGCCCAGGAATTTGAAGTCACCTTCCAAAATTGATTTGGAGGCCAGCACTGGTTAAATGAGGCCTTACCTTAAACATCCTAAAGGGGGGGGGGGGGAAGCAAGCAAGTAAGAGGGAGAAGGAGATTTAAAAATTAAACTTACCCCATTCTTTCCATGTATAAATCACATATAATACATGATTCTCAGAGTAATCACATAGAAAAAACAGAGTTTGGATATCCATACCTGCCATGATGTAAGGCAGGATGTGCACATGAGGTGACCACAGGGCTCAATCTTTACATCCTTATCATTTTCAGCGCATATTTTACATAGTTGAAATGTGGAGCCCATCTCACAGTATAATTCATATTGTTCCTGAGATGAAAAAAATTGAGAGATGTGTTGAATGAAAGACACTAAATATTAGCAACATGAAAACCAAAAGACTGTCAAGTAATAAAATAGATATGTCACAACAGGTTGCTGAGGAAATGGCTGTCAGGCATGAGGACCTGAGTGCAGATCCCCAGGACTACTAGAGCCAGATGTGGTGATCCACATCTGTAACCCTAGTGCTAAGGGACAGAGACAGAGGGATCCAGGGGCTCGATGCCCAGCCACCCAAGCCAATCAGTCAGCTCCAGGTTCAACAAGAAACTGTTTCAAAAAACCAGAATGAAGAGTGGCTAAAAGATCCCAGTGTTGACACTGGTTAGGCCTCCAAATGCACATGCACCACAACACCACACACACACACACACACACACACACACACACACACACACACACACTCTGTAATCAAAGGTCTAAAATCTAACTGTTACAATACCTAGACTATATATTGAGTTCTGAGAGCACATCTGAAAGCTTGGCTTCAGTGATATATACTTATAAAACAAAACTTACCTGGGTTACTTTGATATGATCTTGTGGAGTTGGTTCACATAAACCTGTCAGGTCGGGATTTTGATTTCGTCCATCAGGAAATAAATAGCTAAAAGGAGATTAATAATCCTTGGGGTTTCACCTAGGTCAATTTATCAGTGCAAACTAAAACAGACAAATGAGATCTACCACATCTTAAAAACAAGTAACAACAGGCTGGAGAGATGGCTCTTTCTAATATTAAGAGCACTGACTACTCTTCTGGAGGATCCAGGGTTTTTTTTGTTGTGTTTTGTTTTTATTTTGAGACAGGGTCTCTCTATGTAGCCCTTGCTGTCCTGGAACTCACTATGTAGATCAGGCTGTCCTTGAACTCAAGAGACCAAACTTCCTCTGCCTCCACAGTATTGGGATTAAAGGTCTGCACCACCACAGCCAAGAGGATCCAGGTTTTATTACTAGCACCCACTTGGAGGCTCACACCATCTGTAACTCTAGTTCCAGGATTATGATGCCCTATTCTGGTCTCATGTAACAGGCATGCAAGTGGTGCCTACAGAGGCATGCACACAGGCAAAACACCCATACACATTAAAACAAGTAACAAGCCATGTGTGGTGGTGGTGGTGCATACCTTTAATTCCAGCACTTGGGAAGCAGAGACAGCAGGATTCTGTGAATTGGAGGCAAGCCTGGCTGACAAAATGAGTTTTAGGCCAGCTAGCCAGTGCTACCTAGTGAGACTCTATCTCAAAAAATCAAAACAAGGCCAAGTGGTGGTAGCAAACTCCTTTAATCCCAGCACTCAAGAGGCATAGACAAATGGATCTCTGTGAGTTCAAGGCCAATCTGATCTACAGAGTGAGTTTCAGGACAGGCTCCAAAAGCTACACAGAGAAACCCTGTCTCTAAAACAAACAACACTTCCCCCCCCCCCAAAAAAAAAAAAACAAATCCCCAAACAACCACCACCTTGGTCTGCAGGCTGTATCCCTATCTTCAATGAATGGCCAGGAGGGATAAATATTGTTTTCTTTTGTTTTTGATTGTTGAGGGAGGGCTTTGTTATATAGCTTAGGCTGGCCTCAAACTCATGATTCTTGGTCCAGTTCTTGGAGTGCTGGGGTTATGGGTGCATGCCCTACATTTGCTTTTGACTAGACTTTAAATAGACTCCCCCCCCACTCCAATGAGCCACTGAGATCATCTACCAGTGGCTTCTAGAACCAGACTGCTCAGATGTTAGGAGAAGCACCTCTTCTTGCCTCAATACTAATGCAAAGATGATACATAATTGAACAAGGTATTTTCCTAGTAACTTTAGAACACAGTCGCTATTCTGATATGCACTCAACAGTATCTTCAATGTTTACTGACTGGAAATGAACTTAAATCCCAAAGGAATGGTAATTCAGGAGTAAGAATTTAGCCATAAATATTAGCATACATCACAAAAGCTCAAGGTCTGAAGAAGAAAAAAAAAAAAACTGCTGAATCAGACTAAAACTAGGCTGAAAGTCACTGAGGTCTGTTGTCATTGGAACATCTAATCACCCTCACAATGACTAGTTAAATAAGCAGCAGACTGTCCTCATCCTTGCACAGCTTTTTATTCTAATTTGGCTTTAAAACTAAGTTATTTGGAAAAAGAGATAAAGTTATTTGTGGTAATAACTAAAACAAACAAACAAACAAACCAACAACAAAGAAAGCCAGTCTCACTTAGGAAACCCTTAAGAGCAAAGTTGCTCCAACCTCAAGGTAGGACAAGGCGACAAGTTAACAATTCCTGAAATTTTAGTCTGCAGAGAAAATATGCAATAGAAGCCATTAATGAAGAGGCACTGGTGTTTGAAGCTCCTAGATGCTAAGAGACAACAGAAAGCTGTGATACTCACAAGCCTTCCCTGAAGCCATCAATCAGTGCTTGGAAGAGCGGTTTATTGTGTGGGATTGTCTGCAGAATGTTCCCATCAGCAGTTACGTAGCCAATAGCCCACTGACCCAGACGAGTACAGCTCAGCCGGAATATGTAACTGAGGACAGAGATTATCAGAAGTTTCAATATACATGCTGGTATCAGATAGAAGGCCAAAATAAGAGACAAAATATAATAACATCAACAAAACCATTAAGAATAACTTCTTTAGGAAGAAAGGATGAATATGAATAAAAACAAAGTATATATGAAAAAGTAAATAATAGAACTAATTTTTTTTTGTATGCTTACTTGAATTTAAAGTAATTTTTTCAAGGGACAGGGACATAGCTTAGGGGAAGAATGAATACTTAGTGTGCCTGCAGGCCAGCCTGGTTCAATTTCCAACTTAAAAAACAAAAACAAAAAAACTCCTCTAATGATTCCAGAACAGAAGCAAAATACATCTAGACTTCATTGCACTATTTATTGGAGATAGGGTTTTGCTATATTTTTCAGACTGGTTTCAAACCATCCTCCTGCTTTAGCTTTCCAAGCTCCTGCGTACTAGGACTCCAAGCACCCAGCATAAACTTCATTCTAAATTGGCTTTAAAACATTTACTAAATCACAGGAGTTGATGTCAATCCTATCCCCAAATCTGGGCCACCAGGGATCCAATAAAAGATAATGTTCCTTCAACTCTAACAAAAATTACAAGAAAGTGAAACTGCTTTAATATACTCACCTGCCAGGTTTGTGAATGAACTTCTGGAGCCGTGCTTTCACTTCATCATATGTCAAGAAAGCCATGTAACCAGGGTGAGTTACAGCAAGGCTGTTCCAATTTCTGAGCAAAGAGGACCAAGGCTAAAGAAATGAAAATCAATCACAGACCATTTGGTTCAGACATACAAGCCTCACAACAATGAAGAACAAAAGAAAAAACTTCAACTCTCAGCTATAAATTCTGGCTTGTCACAAACTCTCTATTGTCATTCTTTGGAAAGACAGGTTATGTTTGGGAAAGTAGAAATTTTGAGAGCTAAGAATTATGAGCTGCCTTGTATAGGGAAACAACTACATATACAAAATTTGCTCAGCAGCTCTTACCAGTATTAAGGACAAACAATGACAAGACCCAGAAAAACAGAATAGGGCCTATATGTGCAATTATTAAGCTCTTAATGGATGTTTATTCAAGGTGGCACATGCACATATTGAAGTACCAATGCATTTTAGATTGAAGCCAGGTATGGTGGCACATACTATAACCCCAGTGCTTTGGAGGTAGAAGAAACAGGTGGATCAGGAGTTCAAGGCTAGCCTTGGGCTACATAAGATTTTGTTTTCAAAATAACGGACAAAGAATTGAACAACAAAGGAATAAGAAATGAACTTAGGACCTTTCCTAACTCCTAATCATGGGAATGCCTTTCCCTGTCTCTCTTAATAAACTGTCTCTATTTCTCTCACTTCCATAATTCTAAAATTAATAATAATATTAGAGTTCATTTCGATCTTTCTTTTGCTTACAAGTTTCTAAAATGAATCAAAATACTTTTAGATTGTATTTTTCATCTTATGCGTAGGAATATTTTGCTTGCAAGTATGTATGCACCTTATATGCATATTGTATGATGCCCACAGAAGTCAGGATTAGATCACCTAGAACTAGGGTTACAGATAGTTGCAAGTCACCATGAGAATTGAACCAGGGTCACCTGAAAGAGCAGAAAGTGCTGTAAACTGTTGAGCCATCTCTCCAGCCCTTAATCAGAATACTTTTATGATAGACAAAATCCTTAATGCTACTTTTCTTTTTTCCTAGCTGAGACACAGCTAGGCCATGCTTGCCGCTAACTCACTCTGTGGCCCAGGCTGGCCTTGAACTCCGCAATCATCCTGCCTCAACACCCTAAGTGGTAGGATTATAATCGCAAGCCACTATTCTCAGCTTTATCTTTTTTAAAAAGAGTTTTCTCTTCAGAAAAACAGCACCAGGTTAGTCAATGACTTTAGAATCCTACCTGAAACAGTCGTGTAAAGATATCAAATTCAAAAACAGATATATAATCATTGCAAGTCAGATCAATAGTGGACTTCAGAGCCATGGCCTCCAGGCCAGAACTGATAGGGTGCACTTCATGAAGGGCCTGTCGGAAGCTCTTCCAAGGAACTATTGTCCTGGGATGAAGTGGGATGAGAGAAGACACAATGAGATAACAGGCAACTACAGACACTACTATCACTGAGGAAAGGCAAGCAAGCCACATTAAGCTCCCAATATTAAAAGCAATTCTCTCACAGAAGCCAAGTTATATTCAGAATAAGAACAGAAAGAAGGAAAGGGAGGGAGAGGGAGAGGGAGAAGGAGGGAGGAAAAAGGAAAATCACAACCAGCCCATATTTTATGTAATATAATTTTATTTTTATTTTTGTGATGCTTGGAATTAAACCAAGGCCTTAACATGTCAGATAAGCAGTATAATCTCCATAATTCTAGCTCAAACATTAATGGTTTTTGTTTATTGGGGGTTTTTGTTTGCTTGTTTTTTGTTTTGTTTTGTTTTTTTTTTTGAGAAAAAAACAAAACTTGGGGTAGGAACCTTTGTATTACTGCCTGGCCTCAAAGTCTTGCTTCTGTCTCCCAAGCGCTGGAATTATAGGTGTGCACCACCACACCTTGAGAAGCATTAGCATTTTTTATTAGTATACTTTCACTTCAAGAAGTTGAAAACAGGACTTGGATCATTCTAAGCAATTGCTGTATTGCATTATAACTCAAACCCTGGAACTCTTACTAGCACTCAGAAGGCAGAGGCAGAGAGATCTCTTGAGTTCAAGGCCAGTTTGGTCTACCAAGAGCATTCCAGAACAGCCAGGGTTACACAAAGAAATCCTATCTCAAAAAACAACAATAAATAAATAAGAAAGAATGCAACCCATACAAACCATTTTTGAAAGCAATTAGGCAATACTCAGTAGAGGGGAAAAAAAGTGAAACTCCGTGACTTACCAGTAACATTCTTAGCTATGTAATTGAGAAATTCTAGTTTATGAAAATAACTATGACACCATTCACTTAAACACTGTTTGAAACAGCAAATAATTTGAAATGTGGGGCTGAAGAGGTGGCTCAGTGTTAACATTAGGTATCACTCTTCCACAAGACCCAAGTTCAATTATAGCACCACGTCCAACAGCTCACAACTACTATAACTTCAGCTCCAGATGTGACACCCTCTTCTGGCTTCTATACTGCATTCACATGTATAAATACATACATATATACAGTTTTAAAAAACTTAAACCAATAATCTGAAATGTAAATGCCCACTAGCAGAACAGACAGGGAGAAAAGAGGAAGAATATTCATTCAATCAAAGAATACAGACTTCATCTAAGTTTTATTTCTTTAAAGATTAGAAAAAGCTGGGAGTAGTGGCAAATGCCTTTAATCCCAGCACTCAGGAGGTAGAGGCAAAGGCAGGCAGATTTTTGAGTTAGAGGCCAGTCTGGTAACAGAGTGAGTTCCAGGACAGCCAGGGCTACACAGAGAAAACCCTGTCTCAAAAAGATGGGAGAAAAAATGTTTCTAGCAAAGCTAGCAAAGCTAGGAAGTAGGCACATGATTATTTTCCCAAAGTTTGTCTGAGTTTTGTTCTTTGAGACAGGGTTCCTCTATGTAGTCTTGACTAGCTGTCCTCAAACTCTCTGTAGATCAGCTGGCCTCAAATTTAGAGATCTGCCCTACCTCCCAAATGCTGGGATTAAAGTGTGCACCAGCAGCTTTTCAGTAACCTAAATATTTTGTTTTCTGAGAGGGTGTCATGTTGCCCAGGCTAGTCCATGCTCATCTTCCTGCTTTCATCTCTCTAGCACTGGAATTATAGCCACAAATCACCATTCCTGATTAAAAAAAAAAAAAAATTAGCAGGGTGTGGGTGTGCATGTCCTTAATCCCAGCACTTGACAGGCAGAGGCAAGTAGATCTCTGAGTTCCAGGATAGCAAAGGCTGTCACACAGAGAAGTCTTGTCTTTAAAAACCAAACTAATAGTAATACTAATAACAATTAAACAAAAAAATTTTTTTTAAAAAAATGTTATTGTTATTGGTGGTTGTGTACGTTTCTATGTGAGCGCAGAGTGCCATGGTGCACATGTAAAAATCAGAGGAAAACTGTGGAGTCAGTCCTCTCCTTCCATCTTTACATAGGTTCCAGGGATCAAACTCAGAGTGTCAGGTTTGTGTGTCAGGTACTTAACCTGCTGAGCCATCTTGCTGACCCACTCTGTTTTAAAAATCTAAACAAATATCTCCTAACATAAGCTTTAGTTTTTCATAGTTAGGTTCATCATTTAGAGACTTACTTTTCCCCAAAAGCTTTTCTCCAAAATTCTGCAGCGTCTGCTTTAGTAATCCGAAAAGTGTCTCCTTGGAAGAGTCCACTTGGAAAGATACCTTTCAGTTCTGCCAGCATGTGGCTGAAGATCAGGGATAGTTTGGTTAGGTTTCGCCTACAAAGACCAAAGTACAACAATTAAAACATAAATTACTGATTTTCTGTTGTTTTGTTGAGACAGGGTTTCTCTGTGTAGCTCTGGCCATCCTGGAACTCTCTCTCTAAAGACAGGCATGCCTCTAACTCTTGCCTCCCAATAGCTAGGATTAAAAGCATACACCACCACCCAGCAAATGACTGACATTTTAAGTGTACTGAATTCACCATACAAAGTAGTTTAACATGAACATGAAAAGAAGTTTATAGTTTCTGATCAATAATACTAAAAAGCATGGCAAACTATGAGAGGAAGGAATGTGTGACAATAGCTACGACTTCAGGAATTATTTTGCTCTACCAACAAAGGAAAACCAAAATCTAACGTATCCCATCTCTCTCCCTACTCAAATAAATGTCGTATAGTAAATAAGAAAAAGACCCAAAGTCAAATATTTGAGCTTAATTAAGCTAACAGGAACAAATTTACTTTATAATGACAAAGAACACATCAAACAAATCCAAAAACTTTTCACATTTCACAGCCAGAGCCACACAATCATAAAAGAAAGGCAGCGGCAAAATGTTGGATTTACTGTTCTTCAGAAACCTTCTTTAAAATAAAAAAAAAAAAAAAAAAAAAGCATATATGGTAATATATATGGTAATTCATCCAAGAAGATACCAATAATAACTATTGAAATGTCCAGGCCTAACAAATATTTTCACTAAGTCAGACTTGGTAAAAACTGTATTAAAATTCCTAAATTGTAGTAAACCACTATTTCTTTTTACAAAAAAATGAAATGTTAACATTCAAAGCAAATATGTACATATACTACCACTGATCTTAACAATCAATCAACTTTATCCTAGTATCCTATACTTAATGGATGTGATTTGCCAGGAAGTACCAATTTAACCCAGGTGATGCCTCTAATTTGATCAGACTGTCCTCATTATCTTTAAAATCAGTACCACACAGAACAGGACATAGATGTTTTAGATACTATTAAATATCAAACCAACTACCAATTCGACATATTTCCCTTATCCTAATAATATTCTATTTATGTATTCAAAACTCTATATTATTGCTGACTGACTACAAAATCTCAAACCATGATCAATCAATTATTGATGTCCTATAAAAAGCATCTTTAAAAGACATTTTCGCTGGCCGTTGGTGGCACACGCCTTTAGTTCCAGGACTTGGGAGGCAAAGGCAGGTGGATCACTGTGAGTTTGAGGCTAGCCTGGCCTACAAAGCAAGTCCCAGGACAGGTTCCAAAGATACAAAGAGAAACCCTGTCTTGGGGGAAAAAAAAAAAAAAAGACATTTTCATCTGTTATATTAGAGTGCCACCATCAGGTGCCTTTTGTCTTTCCAAAGCAAAATAAATGAAGCACAAATCAACTCTGACTTTTGCAAACTGCTGCTGGGACATTTCTAATCAGCTTTTCAACATATAAGCTTCTTTTTACCCTGAAGTGTTCTTCCTTGCACTATGAGATCATCTGATTATTCCTGTTTAGGTCTTTTACTGTTGACGAAAATAGAACCTAATCCAAGATTAAGAACTCATCATACCTAGCCACATAACCTTCAATCTACAATTTGTTCTGCCTACAAGATATGCTGGAATAAAGGTGGTGCAGAAATTATGGGAATGGCCAACCCCCGAGTCCCATGCCACAAGAGGAAATCCACCACTGATACTACCTCAACCACCAGGACCTAGAGGCTAGATAGCACAGAGATCTAGGAAAGAACCAAACACAACTGGGGGAAAAAAAAAGGAATGGTGCCTAATGATATTGTGCTAATATTGTGCTATACTCATAGATTGATGCCTGACCCAACTGTCATCAGAGAGCCTTCATCCAGCAACCAATAGAAACAGATGCAGAGATGCAAGGCCAAGCATTAGGCAGAGCTGTGAAGAAGGGGAGGAAGGGTTGTAGGAGCCGCATCAATCAAGGACACCACAAGAAAACCCACAGAATCAACTAACGTGGAATTTTAGGGGCTCACAGAGACTAAACTGACATCTAGGGAACCTGCATGGGACTGACCTAGGCTCTCTGCATATTTGTTACAGTTATGTCTACTAATGGGACTCCTAATAGTGGGAGGAGATGCCTTTGACATTTTTATGTGTGTGTTTCAAGGAAGGGTTTCACTGTGTAGACTACCTGTCTAGGAACTCACAGAGAGGTCTACTTGTCTCTGCCACCCAAGTGCTAGGATTAAGAGTGTGTACCATCATCTCTCAGATCTTTCTCTGACTCTGTTGCTGGCTTTTGGGACCTAGACTTCATGCAGTCTTAATGAGGGGAGATGCCTAGTTAATTCCTTTATTAGCTTTAAAAAACAAACAAACAAACGTTTTATTTTATGTGCACTGGTAAAGGTGTCGGATCCCCTGAAACTGGAATTACAGACAGTTGTGAGCTGCCATGTGAGTGCTGGAAACTGAATCTGGGTACTCTGGAAGAGCAGCCAGTGATCTTACCAATGAGTTATCTCCCCCCTCCCCCCTGAAGAGCTTAGTCATACAGCAACTTGATATGCCATGTTTGGTTGATACCCATGGGAGGGCCACCTTTTTCTGAACAGAAATGGAGGAGGAGGAGGGAGGGCACATGGGAGGTTGAGGGGAGGGAATGGGAGGAGAGGAGGGAGAGCAAACTGTGGTAGGGTTTTAAAGTAATAATAATATTTTTTTTTAAAGAACTCATCAGGGGCGGGAGAGATGGCTCAGAGGTTTAGAGTACTGACTGCTCTTCCAGAAGTCCTGAGTTCAATTTCCAGAAACCACATGGTGGCTTATAACCATCTGTAATGAGCTCTGGTGCCCTCCTCTGGCCTACAGGCATGCATGCAGGCAGAACACTGTATACATAATAAATAAATCTTAAAAAAAAAGAAGAAGAAGAAGAAGAAGAAGAAGAAGAAGGAAGAAGAAGAAGAAGGAAGAAGGAAGAAGAAGAAGAAGAAGAAGAAGAAGAAGAAGAAGAAGAAGAAGAAGAAGAAGAAGAAGAAGAAGAAGAAGAAGGAAGAAGAAGAAGAAGAAGAAGAAGAAGAAGAAGAAGAAGAAGAAGAAGAAGAAGAAGAAGAAGAAGAAGAAGAAGAAGAAGAAAGAACCTCATCATAGGGCTGGCTATCACTCACTAGTACAAAACTGCCTCAACTAGAAACCCCAGGTTCAATTCAGGGTCGGTAGGAGATTATATTCTAAGTAGTATATGAAGCAGAACTTTTAGTAGAACACTAAACTGCCTAACAGGAACCAAGTATTATAGAACATTATGCTAAATGTTAACTTGTGAAGGCAGGGAGAGTCTATGATTCCCTAAGATATACCAAACTATTGGAAACTTAGGATGTGTAAAGGACACTGCTACAGGACCAGTGACAAGACATTTGAGAGTAAAAATAATTGCTGCCAAGCCTGATACCGAGTTCCACATTCCAGAGCCCACGTGGTAGAAAGGCACAATGATTCCCACAAGCTGTCCTATGACATCCATACATGTGCAGTGACAAATTTTTAAACAAAAACTGTGTTAAAAAGAGAGATAGGTGGTCCTAGAGAGATGACTCAGTGGTCAAAACACTGGCTTCAAGTTTTAGGCCAGTCATTAGTTGTCCACTCATACAAGTTCTGAGCCACCATTGTCCCCTACACATCTTGAATGCAGGATAGGTTGTAGGTAGAAGGTTTGGCTGAGTTGGTAGCCCATGACCACCACTGGTCTAACTTGATGCCCACACCACAAGAGGGAGCCTATGTCCTACTGCCTGCATAGCCCGAGACCTAGGGTAGAACCAAATACAACTGCCCCCGCCCCAAAGTCAATGAAATGATTCTGCTATACACATAGATTGGAGCCTAGCCCAATAGTCATCAGAGAGGCTTTCTCTGGCAGCTGATGGGAACAGATGCAGAAACTGAGAGCCAAACATTAGGCAGAGCTCAGGGAATCCCACAGAAGAGGGGAGCCAGTGGAGTCGAGGACACCATGAGAACATAGCACACAGAAATCAACTAAGCAGAGCTTATAGGGGCTCACAGAGACAGAAACTGCAACCACAGAACCTGCAAGGGTCTGCACTAGGTTCTCTGCAGATGTTATGGTTGTTTAGCTTGGGATTTTTGTGGGACTCCTGGGAGAGGGTGTGTCTCTGACTCTTTTGCCTGCTCCTGGAACCCTTTTCTTACTACTGGGTTGCCCCGTCCAAGCCTTGATAAGGGTTTATGCCTAGTCTTAATTGCATCTTGTTATGCTATGTTCAGTTGATATTCCTGGGAGGTGTACTCTTTTCTGAAGGGAAACAGAGAGCAGTTGATCTGAGGGAGATGGGAGGTGTGTGGGGAGGAACTAAGAGGAATGGAGGGAGGGGAAACTGTGGTTGAGCTATATTGTAAGAAAGAAAACCCAGGTTCAGCACCTAAACATGACAGCTAACAACTGTCTTAATTTTAGGGGATGTTATATCCTCTTCTGATTTCCATGGGTGCCAGGCACACATGTGGTGCATACTTATTCATGCAGGCAAAACATTTACACACATTTAAAAAAAAAGTATAATTGTGTTTTAAAAAGTATACAGTAGAGGGCTGGAGAGATGGCTCAGAGGTTAAGAGTGCTGACTGCTCTTCCAGAGGTCGTGAGTTCAATTCCCAACAACCACATGGTGGTTCACAACTATCTATCATGAGATCTAGTGCCCTCTTTCAGTGTGCAGGCAGATATGCAAACAGAATACTGTATATGTAATAAAAATAAGAAAATAAAAAACAAAAAACATTGTTTAAAAAAGTACACAGTAGTACACAAGTAGGTCATGTGCAAATCTTTGGCCATCCTATGCATCTCACTTCTTTCTGAAAACAAACCTTGATTCTCCAATATTTGTTCCTGTTCTTTAGCATTTGTTCCAAACCCTTTGAGATATTTCCCAAGTATTTGCTCTTTGCTGTTTTCCATTCTTTTTAGTTCTTCTCTTCCTTT